TGCCGCCACAGCATGGCTTGACAAGCAGTGCGCTGCTGCGCGCCCAGTGTCCGAACCGGCAAACCCTGGGCTGCCCCAGCGGAGAGCGCACACTTAACTGCTTGCGCCACCAGGCCGGCCCCAGATAGATATATTCTAAAATGAGAATTTAAGCCATCATTTTATTGATTTGATTTTTGCTTTAAAAAAATTAAGATTAATGATTTAAATAAATGTTTCTGAGTTGTCATTGTCTCTTAGGAAGAGTTGATGATAGTGGTAGCTAGTATCAAATCTTCAATGTGATATATTTTCACAGCTGCAAGCCTATTTTAAGAGACTTATTTAAATGATCACTTTGGCCAAACCAACAAATAAGCAAGGTAGACCAATAAATCAAGACTTGACTTTGGAATCTCTCATTGTTGGATTTGTTCATTTCTTATTAGTATAAATTATTTTAAGAAGAGTTTAATTGGAGCCCCAGTTTCCTCCCTAGGATTTTTTTCTACTGGTAGGTGTGCATAGATCCTGTTTGTTTTGATAGTGGTACAGAACTTTAAACTATTTAATATCTAAAGAATTTCTAAGTTATTTTTAAACCTGTTAGGTTTTTTTTTTTTTTTTTTTTTTGGTGAGGAAGACCAGCCCTGAGCTAACATCCATTGCCAATCCTGCTCTTTTTGCTGAGCAAGACTGGCCCTGGGCTAACATCCGTGCCCATCTTCCTCTACTTTATATGGGACGCCGCCACAGCATGACTTGAGAAGCTGTGTGTCGGTGCACGCCTGGGATCCGAACCTACGAACCCTGGGCCGCTGAAGCAGAGCATGCGCACTTAACCACTGCGCCACTGGGCTGTCCCCCGTTAGGTTTTTTTTTTTTTTTTTAACATCAAAAACACTTTGCCTTTAGCATAATATATTTTCCTTAAAATATGAGGGGAAATATTACTTAATGCAGAGAATATATGGTGTCAGATATTGTCATTTCTGTTTATCTTTTTCTCTTTTTTTTTTGCATCCGGTATAATAGATATATTTATACTATCCTAAATATTGCTGATGCTTAAACTCCTTCCCCCTTGGCTTTTTGGATAAGGCTGATAGGGGAGTGTATAGTTTGATATTTAAGAGTATAAGTTCTGGAATAAATGCCTGGGTTTACAGTCTACCATTTAGTTGTGGTGCTTGGGGCAAGTTCCTGCTCATGTAAATCTCTGTTTCTTTATCTATAAAATGTGGATAATAATAGTACCTGCTTTATCAGTTGTTGTAAAGATTCAATGAGATGATCAAGTTAAAGCATTTAGCACAGCACTGGGTGCATATAAAGTACACTGAGAAACACTTCCAGAATAGTAGAGTAAGAATCTCCTCCACAAAAGCAATGAAAACACTGGCAAAAAATTGCCAAATTCAAAATTTTTAGAACTCTGAAAATTAATGACAGACTTGCAAAAATTCAAGGAGCATTTATTCAAGAAAATGGCTGACTCTCCATAAGAATAGTGAACTTTGTGGATTTTTTTTTTATTCATGTCATAATAGCTTATAACATTGTGAACTTTTAGTTGTACATTATTGTTTGTCAGTCACCGTATACATGCCTCCTTTCACCCCTTGTGCCCGCTCTCCAGCCCCCTTCCCCCTGATAACTACTGAACTGTTCTCTCTGTCCGTGTATTAGTTTATCTTCCACATATGAGTGAAATCATGCAGTGTTTGTTTTTCTCTGTCTGGCTTATTTCGCTTAACATGATGCCCTCCAGGTCCATCCATGTGGCTGCAAAATGGGACGATTTTGTCTTTTTTTTTTTTTTTTTTTGGCTGAGTAGTATTCCATTGTATATATACACCACATCTTCTTTATCCAGTCATCAGTCGAAGGACACTTGGGTTGCTTCCACTTCTTGGCTATGGTGAATAATGCTGCAGTGAACATAGGGGTGCATAAGCCTCTTTGGATTGTTGATTTCGAGTTCTTTGGATAAATACCCAGTAGTGGGATAGCTGGATCATAAGGTATTTCTATTTT